TTTTTATTTTTTCATGCTCAATTTTTTTTCGAGAAAATTAACTGGCCAAAATATTAAAAACGAATAAAAATAGTTTATTTATAAAAAAATAAAATTATTTGGAAAAGAAGTTATTAATTAGTTATGGAGGAGGAATCGAAAAATGAATTGCATATCAAATCGAAGGTAAAAATGGCGGCTCAATCGTGTTAATAATTAATTATTCGTCTCGTGAAATGATTTGAGTTTTTTGTGTATTTATTAATTTGTAACGTGAATTATTAATTTGTTAAATGCAGTTAATAAAATTTGATAAAATTCATTTAAAAAAAACAATTTTTTTTTTTTTTTTTGGTACGTAACTTACCTGCACTGACGTTTATAATAAATTGACTTGATATTCACTCTTAATAATAACCAATTCAATAATAATAATATATATTGACCTTTGACATAATTAAATAATAATGATAATAATATTTTACAATTCATCCAACGTGTTCACATCCTAATCACATAAATAAAATTGGTTTGATTTTCGACGGCAACCCCCTAAAAGAAAAAATCAATAAATTTTGATAAAAATTATTTTAAAAAATTTCTCACACTTGCAAAATAGTAATGTAATGATAATAATAATAATAACTTTGCTATTTGTTTGGTTTAAACCATTTTGGAAATTTCATTTGAGGGGAGGTCGAATCCTCCCTGGAAACGGAATCAAATTGTTGGCTTCCGCTTGGACCGGGTCTCGGAGAACTTTTGTTCCATTTACGCTTTTCAGCTTCATCAAATTTCTCTTCGGGAAGTTTTCTATCTCCCCCTCTGTAATTTTAAAAATAATATTATGATTTCCAAAAAAAAAAAAAAAAATAAAGCGTTTTCAAAATCATACCTCGATTCGAAAGCTGTTAATGTGGCAGCACTCGGCGTGGATAATTTTTGTAAAACGTCCGATTTCAGGTATTGTGCGGGCGAAGTATCGACAGAAGAAAGTCCAAAATACAAAACGCAAGAAGGTACGCAACCGCATTCAATCAGTCTTTCGTGTGGTTTTAATATGACTTTAGGCGGAGTCGTATCTAAAATATAATTTTTCGTATAATTATTTACTTTGGAATTCCAAACAAATTTTTTTCAATAATAAAATAATACCGACAAAGGTAAAATTTCATTTTTGGATCTTCTAAATATTCGGCAACAAATTTTTCTACGTCGGATATAGTTTCGATGGGAGAAAAAGTTCCTTGAAGAACCGTTCTATCCGGAAATTTAATTCTAAGCACGGATTTTTTGTATTGATGAAGAAGGGTAAGAACTTTTTTGTCTTTTTCCAATTCCCTTTGTGCAGCCGTCATTAGCGGTGCTTCTTCCAATTCGGCACATAATTGTTTGGCTTGCTTAAGCAATATTTTGGCATCATTTATTGTTAAATCGTAAAAATCATCGGATTCTTCTTCGAATGCGGTCGGTTTCACACAATTAAGATTATAAGCTACTGCATTTCTCTCTCCAAGCTGAAAAAAAATTGCATTTTTAATATCTTTTAAATATTATTCTCACAAAAAAAAAAAAATAAATAACTTCATGCAACTTACAAATATAACTTTTCCCTCTTCTTTTTTTTTCTCCATTTCTTTTTTTATCCTTTCTTTTTGAGATTCATTAACAGTGTCAGAATTTTTCGATTTCCCTGCAATTTTTTCTTTTGGTATACTTTTATCAATGGTCATTAATTTTTTAGCATTTTTCTCTTCTAATTTTTTAGCTTTTTCTTCTTTAAGTAATTTTTCAAACACGTTCCCTTTAAAATTATAATTCTCTGATTTAGGATTTTTTGAGGGTTTTATGTCTTTCGGAGGAGAATCCCTTGTTGGAGATTTTGAAGATTTTGTTTCTCTCGGTGGGGATTCTACTGATGAAGGTTTCAAAGATTTTGTTTCCCTCGGTGGGGATTCTATTGATGGAGGTTTGAAAGGTTTTTCAAAACCTGACTCATTTTTGTTAGAGGTATAATCCTGAGTTGAAATTTTTTTTAAATCAGAAGTATTTAAATTTGTTTTTGATTTTTCTTCACTACTTCTAGTCAAATTACTAGTAACATTGGCTTGAGTATGAAGTTCTTCCGGTGATTTATGTAGGAGCCTTAAAATTGCTCGTCCACCAGTTAATCTGAAATTATTTTAAAAATTAAGCCTAAATAATTAATAAATTCCTTTATTTTGTGAAGATAAATAATAAGCTTAAAAAAAGCTCTTTAAATAAATTACCCTAAACTCCTTAAAGTTGTTCTATTTAAATTTTCTCTTCCGTAAATTTCTTGCCTCATATAAATAACTACAATATGAGCCTTTCGTTCTTCTTCAGGTTTTAATGTGTTAATAACATGCCATACTGAATCAGATGGAGTAAAAACACCTGTTAATCTTTCACCTGATTCTAATTGAAGACCCAGAGTAACTGATGATTCTTGTCTCACTTTTACAGCTTCAGTCATTTCCAACTGTGCATTATTTGGTAAACTTGTAAATCTAAACATTGATGAAACATCCAAAATTTTGTTGTGGTGCCTGAAATATTAAATAAAAAAATTTTATTATAAGAAATATTACAACAATTCAGTTTTTAATTTTTTGTAAATAAATTTTTAAAAAGTAAATAAAGTATTGAATCATGTTAAGTTAAATTAAAATTTTTATCCTTATTTATGCTGTTCGTTAAAAATATTATTTTTTTAACCCTTTAGGACATTCACAAAAAATTTGTTTTGTATTGTGCAATAAATGAAATCACAAAAATTTAAGTATTGAAATGAAATTCATATGTATGTAATTAATTTTTCCATTTTGTATTATTGAAAAAGAATAAATATAAACAAAAAAATTTAATATTAAAATGTTTTTAATTATATAAACGTACCTGAGATCATATTCCCTGGCGTTGAGTCCATATTTTGAGCAAACTTCTTCCAATATCTAAAATAATTTATAAAATTAAAATATATCAAAAAAAAAAAAAAAAAAAAGCATTGCAATCAAATATTTGTAAATAAATTTTTTCTTGCCTGCAAAAGGGTTGTATTAGGAGTGACTTTAACTTGTTGCCGACGTCCCTTTGGTGTTAAAACTGTGACAGAGTACATGTCAATGTTAAAAAAAAAAATTAAGTAAGATACCTATAAATAACTATAACTATGTAGATATAAAATAGTAGACATTAATTCTGTCCCAGAATTTTTTCAATGTTTTGATATTTCCAAGCAGTGTCTTGCAAGTAGGTTAATTCTTTTCTTAATTTTTTAAGACGTTTTTTATGAGCGTCCACTTGTAGAGAAGCTATATTATAATCAATGGAATGTTCAAACTTTAATCTATTTTCAAATAAATCGCAAGGAGCTGACGAAGAAATATTCGAATTCTGAGATCTTACTTGTGGAGTATTCGATGACAACAAAACATTTTTAGCTATGTTTGAAGTACTCATGGTAAAAATTTTGAATACAGATGATATTGAGAAACCGGAAATAGAAAAAAAATTGTCGATTAATCGAAATTTACCTTTGAATATGCATGTATTTGATTAAAGTATGACCGATGACATAATACAATATTGGTGCCATAACATTGATTATACATAAGTTTTTAAAATGGAAAAAAATTCGGAATTAAATTTAGAAAAAGGAGTCAATGCAGAGGATTACAATCATTCATATATAATTGACGTAAGTTCTTTAA